CCTCCCCTGCCCACCCGGGTGCCTGCCCACTCACCAGGGTGAAAATGAGCCCATCGCCACCGCACACCTTCGTAGCTCAAGGCCGAGCCTGTCGCTCGTGCCAACCAACAATATTTTTGCTGGAATTTACCGAAAGTACGCGGTCGTTGTGTCAGCGGACAGGTAAGTTCCATGCAATGCACAAGCCTGCGAGATAACGGAAAAACGAATTCGCTTTCAGTTGCAATGGGGCACCCGTGCATTGCGGCGACACGAGTCCTTGTTGACCGACTCAGCCCGCCCAGCAGCCGCAGCCAACCGGCATGTGCCTGCTCCGCACCCTGGCACTTTCCGTCATCTAACCCGCCACCGACGATCAAGAATGACTGACATCCCGTATACAGCGTTCGATGCGTTGTTTCCTGTATGTACCCCTGTCGACAGATCTGTGCGCAAGTTCTTCGCCACCCCAATGTGTGTGATGAATGTTCGCTGCTTGCGCGATATGTGAGGTTTAAGCCGCGTTTTAGCCCGTGACCGATCATACCTATCAAAGTCCGACCAAAACCACAGACAGATGATTGATGTCCACGTCACGTCTGGTCTTGAGCCTTCGTAAAAAACATACGTCCCAGTCTAAATTGCCGAGTTCGCTACCTTGGATACCAGCGTTGTCTGGCAGGTGGCGGACGCCGGGTCCGTCCCGCTCCCACCGGGCGTAGCAGAGCGTCATCCGCCGCTCGTGAGCACACCGCCACCCCGCTGGTACTCACGCTGCTTCTCCAGGATGACGAGCGCCGAGTCCGTGCCGTAGGTGTTGGTGACGGAGCAGTTGTACAGGCCAAAGTCCTCCTCACGGGTCGTCGGGGATCACGAGCAAGCTGCGGATGCCGCCCACGACGACCTCCTCCACCACGGCGCAGTGGCCGGCGTCTGCGCAGTCGTGAGGAAGTAGTAGGTTACCACCGCGTCAGCGGTGGTTCGGCCTCTCCCCACCGCGAATGTTACACTGAGGAAGGGGACACAGCAGGACAACGCTGTTAAACCTCCTCATGTCAGGGCGGTGGTTCAAATTCCCGGCATTGCAAGCGCGCTCACAATTCTCCACAACTCGGCGAGTGTGAGCAGTGGTTTTTGACCCGACTCCAACAAACGAACAGACGTGGCACACCTCTATGAACTGCCTTACACCTCCCCCAGCACACGCCTCCTCAAGCCCGCCCAAACCAGCCCCGCCCCACCGCTCCGGGCCCTGTCCCGCCTGCGGCCGCTCACTGACCGAGCGGCACGGGCTGGTTGTTGAAGAGCCAGGTGACGGCCGTGGGTGGTGGCACGCTCGCCACGCTGCACTCCAGGTGCACCAGCTGGCCGGCAGTGCCGCGCTGGGTCGGCGGCGCCGTGACGCGCGGCGGCGCGCGCACGAAGAGGCGAATCTGGCGCGACCACGGCCGGGTGGTGCTCGCCCGAGGTGCGACATTCGTAGAGGCCAACCGTGTCGGCGGAGGCGACCAGCGTCAGGCGGCGGCCGGTGCCCACCGGCTGTGGACAGGCGGGGCGGAGGTCAGGTCACGGGTCAGGTCAAGGCACCTGCGCAAGACGACTGTGTCCGCGGAGCAGGTCAGGCGACAGGGTCAGATCCGCTCGTCGGAGGTGAGTTTCGCGTCGATGCACGCCAAATCCACTTAACTGGAGCGATCCTTGGAGTGATCTGGAGTGATCTGGAGATACTTTAGTGGAGTAAGATCACTTTGCCCACTTGACTCCCTCGCCTCATTCTCCCACTGCGGAGGGACGCCTGTGTGCCCGCATATGTGCGTTGGCTTCTCGACAATGCGCGATCCCAGGATCACAATCCAGAGAGGAAGTCGACCGCTCTGGCCGTTTAGTTCTACGTACGGTGTATGGCACCGTACGTAGTGTTGAACATGCTGAGGTGCTGGACACTTAGAGACGCTCTCGCACATTTGAGAGCTCTCCTCACATTTCAAAGCTCTGCTATTTGCTGCGACGCACGGCTATTTGTCGGACGAACACCCAGAGTAAACACGTCGAGTACTGCTTTGTGCTAAGCCAAGCCCGGCAAGCAGAGCTGCAGCGCCGCGAATGCTTGCAAAATAAGAGACACCGCTCCTTGAAATATATCCAGCCGGCGCCAACGAGAACCGCATGAATTCCCCGTAACGTACGCAATCTGCATGCAAACTGGGAGCCGGGTGGCAGGAGATGGGGCTGTACCGCCCATCTGTACCTGATGTTTTTGCATTCACTGCTAAAAATGAAGTCATGACCTAACTGCACCGGTCGTGAGTGCGAGAGGATGTCGCGACGCGGCCTCATCCCGCCGCGCAAAAACGTGCACGCCAAGCAGTACGCGCGATTCATCTCGGGACACAAATCCCGAGAAACCGGTTCCCGCCATTATGTTTTGTGGGCTGCCGTGACCGGGCCGTGTTTCTGTAAATGCCGGAAACGAGTGACGGCCGCGAGCGCGTCGGGCCGGAGCCGGCGCGGTCGGCCGGCTGCAGCGGCGGTGGCGGCGACGGCCGGTGTGAAAATTGAACGACCACTCGCCAGAGATGGGAGCAGTTGCCAGCCGAGAGTAGCCCGTAATTGCGGCCGACATGCGAGGGGTGGCACCCGTGGCCGCCGTGTCGCGGCGGAGCAGGACGGCGGCCATCGCGGCGCAGACGAGCTGGGACCGCGAGTGGGGTCACTGACCTGACGGTTACAACCCTGCACGGCGTGGAGTACGGCCAGGGGCCCACCGGGTGCACGCCATGCAGACTGAGAGTATATGAGGTAACGCCCGGGGAGGCGGGCCATCACAACAACGTGAGGCGCCAAATCGCGGTGGCTGGCAGCGACAGAACTGGATGGGGACCAGTCCAACGACTGGAAGGGGAACTAGGAGAGATTGCCGGGCATTCAGGATGGTATCTCTCCGCTGCAGTCACTGCGGCTTCATCTAACTCAGCCTTGTTAAAACATAACCGCTCCACGTAGAGTATATCTGACTGACAACAGTTGCAATCCAAAGCAAGCTCTGGTCCTGCACATCCTTCTACCCGCGTCAGCACAGATCAAACCAAGGCCGTTCTGATAAAAAAAAAACACTCTAAACCAAGGCAGCTCTGCCCGGCCGCACGGGTGAGTCACAGCACTCAAACCGCGGCAGCCGCTGGTCACGACAGCCCAGCACTCTGCGGTCCTGCGCGACGGCGGCCCGACCAGCGCGTCCCCAAGCTTGAGCCGCCGGCTCGGCCTGGGGCTCGAGCCGTCGGCGGAGGCCGCCGGCCGACCTTGCGTCTCACGCGGCGTGACGCGCCCCCGGCCTGGCGTGACGCGCCCCCATCAGCCGCTGCAATCGGCCGCGACCAGTGGGGTCAGCCCCGTGACCCGCACCGACCGGCGACATTCCGCGCTCGCCAGAGGCGGCGTCAGGACCGCACTCCGGGGGAGGGAGCAGTGCGGGTGGCAGGAGCGCGCGCAGATGGGCTGTGAGCGGAGGATGGGATGGGGTGCCGGCGTGGTGTTTCAAGAGTGAGGGTGGTGTGGAAGGACGTCTGGCACGCTGCGTGCGCCCCTGCACGTGCAATAGTCCGACGCACGCAATATCCGCGCAGGGTGATAGTTACGTGTACGCCGGCTTGTAATAACCTTTTTTTGCAATCGAGGGAGTTTACTGACGCTTTTCGCCTGTCAGCGCACCCCACTCGCAGACGTTCATCAGCGAGCTGTACCACCCAGGCCGGCAAGACCCGCGCATAACAGGCTCCTGCCACGACATCCACCGGAGCCTCGATACCCAAGCGGTGCGTATCGCGACCGTGCGGTATGTCAGGCATCCCCCAACACCGGTGAGGCCGGTGCTGCGCTGCAAGGAATTCGAAACATGTGCCGGGTAAGCCACGTTAGGTTCCGACCGGCCAGCCGACAACATGCAAGCACGGCAGACTTCTGTCGACGCCCACATCGGTAAGTCAGCACGTCGCCTCGGTCCGCAAGGCTGCCGTCGCGCTGGCGGTTAGCCACTGTTTTACAGCGCTGTTTCCTGAGTGAGCAGCACGGGCGGCTTCAGGCACAGCGTGCTTATTCAGCGGAGCCTGTCGCGTGTTCCCTGAATCCTCTTCCATTCTCGGACGCAGGATTCACCCTCTTCGCACCCAACGCCCGCCTGCCGTCGCTCCAGCTGCGACTCCCCGCCGCACGACTCGCGGCGCCGCGGTGACTCACCTCCGGACAGGCGTCGCACTCGCGCCTGACCCAGCTGACCTCGGGCGCCGGGTTGGCGTCCACGTCGCAGAGCAGGGTCGCCTCCTGGCCCACGTCCGCGGCCACGTCCCGCGGCTCGGTGCGGAAGCGCGGCGCGTCTGCGGACAGCGCGGGGCGCGCGGGTCAGTCATTCCCAGTCCGTACAATGGCGGATTGTTTTATTGTCCGCCAGCGAAGCGGCGCAGCAGGCATGCTTTGGCCGCGTCCGCGTCGTAGACGGTAATTAATCGGCCGTTGCGGTCATTTTTCCGACGACATTAACGTCTAATCTGAGTTCTCGGCTTGGTGCAGGCGGTGCGGCCGCCGCTAAGGGCTGGATCTGTTACATGGCAGGGTAGATAAGCGAGTTTTTGCCGAGCGCTGCGGCGTGGTGCGACGAGGCATGGGCGGGTAGACAGTTATGAAGCTCGAGGATGAACGGGGGGCGGGGAGCATCAGGAACCCTGGTAGCATCACGGCGGCCAGCACTGCTGCTCGCTGCGGCTGTCGAGAAAGCCGGGTCTGACTGGATCCGGCGGCAATACGAGGGGCGGCACGGGTGATCATAGGTTACACATGCACAAAAGCAGGCGCACTGATAACCAGTCAGCGCTCTCGACACACAGAGCCAAGGCTGACCTGGCGCCGCATGCACCGACCGTGTTAAACCGTCAGCAACCGGGAGCTGCCCCACACCGCACTGCCACTGACGCTCAAAGGTCCGCAGCCAGCACCTCAACTGATTTCGTGGGACGCCCCGCCGCCGCCAGTCACTCACAGAGCACGTTTATCTGGGTGGCGCCGCTGCCCGTGCCGGCGGCGTTGGTGACCTGACAGAGCACGGAGGCGTTGTCCAGGTGACGGCCGACGGCGCGCAGCGTCGTGGAGCTGTCGGTCTGGCCTGGCAGCGGCTCGCCGTTCACGAACCAGCGATACCGAACCTGTGACGTCAGCGGCCGGCGTCAGGGCGGCCTGCAGGCGACCTTAACCGCAGATCGGACGGCCCCATCGTCAATCGTCGCCATCTCGCCGCAGGTGGCCGGCGCGCGAGACTCGGCTCAGCTCGGGTCGGCCCGCCCGGCCGTGCCTCGCTCGGCGGAGACCGGGCCCCGACACGACACCGCGCGCCATTGTCCACAGTCGGGCCTCCGCCACTGACGAGCGCCGGCAGACCAGCACCGTTACCTCGGCCGTGCCGCAGGTAAGCGCCTGCACCGGCCGCGGCGACGGCGGCCCCACCGCGCCCACCGATTACCACATGGGCTGACCTTTCTACCTGCTGGTGGAAGCGGGCTCAAGGGCACCAGCACCACTCATCCGCTCACGGAGGGTGGTGGACATCACGTGACTCTAGGCTGGGTTCATTATCCCAAGGGGATGGATAGCACGCCGGACAGCTGCACCACGGCTCCAACACCGGAGCAGTGCGTACAGGCCGTCACATTCCCACAATGATTCGGACGGTCATATCATCAATCACAAGACAATGACCATAATCAAACAGAAATTCGACGTAAGTAAGAAGAGCCGTAAGCTGCCGCCTGATCACTCAGCATTAAGAGCTTTAGTGCTGAAAATGGCCGGCTTCAATCAGTCGGGACGAGTCTGTTGACAGCCGTCCTAAATGTCAACCACAAAGTCAAGAGCATTTTCCACGCCGGCGCCCGCCTCGCGCCCGCTCCTTCGCCAGCGCCTCACCTGGCCGGGGTTGGCCGTGGCGCGGCAGTGGAGGGTGACGTCATCAAACTCGGCGGCGCGCGCCCGGTCGGCGCTGACGCTGACCTCCGGCGGGAACGTGACCTGCAGCCGGACGGCGGCCGTCTGCGGCCGAGTGAGCGCCGCGTTGTGCGCCCGACAGGTGACGGTCGTGTCCTGGTGGGCCGGCGCCGCCGTCAGCACCAGGGTGGAGCGCACCACACTCCGCTTGCCGTCGGCCATCAGCGCCGACTCGGTGGAGGTGCCGTTCTCGAGGATCGCGCCGTCGCCGCGGTACCACTCGATCTGGGGAGAGGTGGGGGGGGGGGGGGGGGGGGGGTTACCACGTGGCCTGGGGGCGGGCTATTATGCAGCCTGGGCAGCCTTTGGAGGGGTGTGGTACCACTCAGTCTGGGGAGGGGGGGGGGGGGTTACCAACCTACTGGGGTCTGAGGGAACATACGACATGGGCAGGAAGCAGCATTTGATCTGGACACAGTTGGTTCACGTGATAACTGTCCGTGAATCATTTGCGAGTTACAAATGAACGATAATAACATGCTCTAAGCAAACGACAATTAGCTTAATATCCGTATAATCTCACACTTCACTAAATCGTGATAATTTCAACCATTTTTATTAGATTGGAAACCGAGGGGAGCAAAGGAAAACGTACGATCAAGTCCGACTCAGTTAACATTGCATATGCCGGCGAAAACTGTTGAGCGATAACATAAAACATCACTCTAGTCGCACGCAACCGCATCGATTTTCACCGTAGAATGTAAACATCTCTTCAACACCTCGAACTCAGCACGTGAAGGACGCCCTCCCACTCGCCCACCTGGGCTTGTGTGACGTCACTTCACGCGGCCAGTTCGGGCATCACCTTGGCTTTCACCTCGCGTGACCCGGCGAGTTATGTTCGCCAGTGCCGTGGAAGAGAATTGAAGCCGGTAAATGGTGTCCAGGTTATAGCCTATTCGCGTTCGGCGATGGAAACGCAGATGACCTTTGGCCGCGGTAATGACGGCTGACAGGATGCAGAGCCGCGAAACGTCGAGAAACTCGCAGGGTGGGGCCGGCAAACGCACCTTCAGAGTCGCGACCAATTGGCTCCGATTTTTACGCAGGCGTTTGGCCTGTCCATGAGTTCAACACCCCACGACCTTCCCTTCTCTTTCAGCGGCATGTCCGGGATACAGAGTCGCCGGGTGACGGGGGCGGGGCTGGGGGGGGGGGGGGGGGAGGGGGGCGACGGATGGCGGCTTTAGGTGCTGCTGATCGCTGTAAAGGCGATGGGTTTCTGTGGCGGCGCGGCGCAGTGGAGCCCGGAGCTTTCAGCTCGAATGGCTGAGTGGAGTAGAGGCGTTTTGATTCAGAGTCCAGGCATTCAGCAGACCATAATCCCGCTCTTCAAGTTTAGTGTTCAACAACAACGGCAGCGTTCCCAACTTGTATCGGCGCTGCGCCAGTTAACTCTGAAGGGTCCTCCACGCGCCATCGAGTCCACAACACCGCCCACTCGTGACCAAGAGTATTTCCCCGCACGTCAACTCGGCATACCACCACAGGGAGCCAACCTCGCGGCGCCTGCCACGTACCGGGCAGGTGCCAAAAACGTCTCGACATTCCGTGGGAGTGACGGTAACCTGAGCAGGTCGAGCGAGCGGTGCGGTACTGACCTCGGCCGGGGGACGGCCGCCGCGACTCTCGCACTGGAGCCGGACCTCCAGGCCGGCCGCGGTCGTCACCTGGTCCCCCTGGATCACCCGCGGCGGCTCCGGCGGCACCAGGATCGTCAGGCGCGCGTCACGGGACCTGCCGCAGGACCACGATCACGGCGTCACGGAACCTGCTGCCGCTGGCGGATCGTGATCGCACGTACGACAGGACACGAGGGGAGTCACGATTGTGATCATCACTGGACCTGCGGGACAGTGGTGACCTTTTGAGAACGGAAACCTGAAGTAAGGTTACGGTCACGAGCGCCACGAGAACCGTGGGAAAATTACTATTCGGCTCAAGGAGCATGATACAGGACCTGAGGAGCAGTGTGACGATGCGCAGAGATGGCAAGATCTTAAAAGTGCATGTCAAGACGGAATAACACGAGCTTGGACATCACGGTTTTGAAAAAGACCACAGCCTTAGGCGCAACAAGTTTTGTAGGCAAACTACGCTCGTATGTTGAGCACCAAGGAATCGGATTAATAATCCTCGCCTTCAGCATCGCTAGACCTGGGTTAGCACCAGCCTTAGGCACAACGGACTCCGGGGAATTCACGATTTCCAATTCCGGCGGCGAACGGTGAGATAACGATTTTATCGTATTTAAATGGCCTTTCGATAATCATAATCGATAATCACTAGCATATTACATAGGGACGGACAGAAAGGCGAAATGACGCCACTCAGACCGCAACGTCGAAGGAAACCGTGCAGAATGGCAGTACCTTATGCGAAGGCGCAGCGCCGCACAGACACGATAGTGGATGTCTTCCATTAAGGTGAACAATGATGCGCAGTTACCGAACGACCGGGGCGGAGAATTAAATCAGCTGGCAGAAGATTGCCAAAAGGGGCATGTTCTCGGTACATCACATCGATGGCCCAGTCGACTGGCCAACGAAAACATCAGATTCAGAACTGGATTTCACCACATTTAATGTGGTTCATACACGCGTTTAGAAGAGCTGGCCTTTAGGTTGGGGGAACTAGGCTGAGTTGAGAGATATCCACACCCAAATGGTGAGAAAACTGTACCCCCGTCTACCAACGTTGAGGAAACGAATAATTGCAACAAACCCTTGCGTGTATCCCTCATTCAAGACATTCATCACAGACTATGTTTTAACCTGGCCAATGTTCAGTGCCCGTCCGACGAACGGCTACAACTAAAGACACGACAAAAGGAACAAATCCTTGCTTACATCGCTCCTTCAAGCTATTACGAAAATGACCAGCCTTAGCACCACCAATATTAAGTGATACGATTAAGCGTATAACTGAGGCTCATGTTCAACAAACCGGGAGAAAAAAAAACGTGAGAAACGTGCCGTGTAATAACCGCAAACGTGAGTGCGTGATTATCACAAAGCAGTTCAAAAAAATAATCGAACAGAGCGGACATCATGAAAAAATGCACTGAAAAGAACTGAGTGCTTATTTTAGGCCCCTGCTTGAAAAGTTCTACAAAATTTCCGTTTTTTGTTTGGTCAACTATACTCACACCAATCACAAACACGACACGGAAGGCAGCAAATATCTTATCGGACCTCAAAAATAACCTGCACCCACCCTCACAGTACGGACACAATTCGCCACGCGATGCAGTTAATACCTAAATTACGGTCATTCAACCATCCACGCTCTGCACGTAAAATCGTAACTACAGACAAGCGATAATTCCGGTCGCATGGCAAAGCCCGGCCCTCAGTCTGTGCTGGCCGACGGGGCCTTCTCACCTGATGCCCTGCTGGCCGACCGGCCTCGGGTCTGTTGCTGGCCGGCGGGGCCTTCCAACCTGATGCCCTGCTGGCCGACGGGCCTCTGAGTCTGTGCTGGCCGGCTGGGCCATCTCACCTGATGCCCTGCTGGCCGACCGGCTCGGGTCTGTGCTGGCCGGCGGGCCTTCCAACCTGATGCCCTGCTGCCGACGGGCCTCGAGTCTGTGCTGGCCGGCGGGACCATCTCACCTGATACCCTGCTGGCCGACGGGCCTCGGGTCTGTGCTGGCGGCTGGGGCTCCCTTACCTGATGCCCTGCTGGCCGGCGGGCCTTGGATCTGTGCTGGTCAGCCGGGGCTCCCTCACCTGATGCCCTGCTGACCGGCGGCCGAGCCGACCTGACACTGGAACACGGCGTCGTCCTCCAGCGTGGCGCGCTGCACCTCCAGCGAGTAGATGCCCTCGTGGTCATCGCCGATCATCTGGTAGCGCGGGTAGCTGGGTAGGTCGCGTATGACGCCCAGGCCGAACTCGTCGCGGGTCCACTGTACCTGGCCGACTGGCTCCGACACCTGGAGAGGGGAAAAGGGGAATAAGGCGAAGGGCAGCGGGACTGAGGCGGCTCTTCGTGTCGGCTCCGGACCGGCCCCGGCAGGGGAGCACCGGGAGCGCCTCTGGGAGGTGACGTTGGCGACAACGCAGTCCACGGGAAGAGGGATCTTCACAGGCATGTCACGAACATGCCACTATGCCAAGGGAGCCTTACTGTACACCGACTGTCGGGAATACCCATGCACCCGCAAGCGCATGGGAGATCAAGCAAAATATGCAGCGCGCACACGCCGGACCTTGGGAAGCACGAAGCAACTTTCCACTCGGGGGGGGGGGGGGGCGAGCCCAGATTCAAATTCGGAATGCGAAATAGTTTAGCAATCGCGTGTCACTGCCGCCTCCTGCTTCCTGATGGCCAAGCAACGAAAGGAATATGTGTGGCGCGGCTGGAAAAGGATGAATGATTCCTGTTGAAAACCAAAATGCTTACAAACGAGTAAAGATATTCTTGAGACGACGCTGTTGGGACTGCACTTAAAGTGCTAGCAACTTTAATACGGTCGACTGCAATCGCCATGGTCCGTTCGGAAACTTTAAGCAGTGGCGTTACGTGGCGTCACACAAATGTGACAAACACTGTGTGGCAGCTGAGTGGCACCGTGCAGCAAGGGTCATGAACTTCGGAATCATTTCCATCGCGACGATCGTTCGTAGATAACCGTAAAATCAAGGTACGTTTTGTCCACAGATCCCTGGAAAAGGATCTTCTTTCGCAGAACACTAAATAAAAACGGTGGGAAACCTTCCCACGGCCGCCGCTGTCCGCATAGTACGCCGCATAGTACATGAACGACCTTGTCAAGCCAACGATGTGGGATAGCTCCGTGGGCTGCAGCGTTAGCGCCAGGCGAGATGCACGTGTTGCAAGTTGGCTCCACCACGCCGTCAGCATACAGGCCGGCAGGTCTCATGTTAAGCACCACATATTCTGGGAAACGTCCACTGTTTGCATGGTGTGACTTACGGCGTGTAAAATGGCATGAATTATGGGGATGCCCGCCCTACGCATTCCACTCAAAACACAGCAAATGCATTAGTGTCGTAACCAAACTTAAAATTTATGCGGGCTTGAGTGGCTCAATTACTGCCCATCAAACCCATACAAACGAGCGCACCGCAGTTCAGGCTGGAAATCTGCCCTGTGGTCATGTCGACCGGCCTGGTGCCATGACCAAGCCGAGCCCCCACGTCCCTTCCCTCTGCGCACGCAACGCAACCAATTACGACGCCATTACTATTCCACACACACATAAGCCTCACGTACTCGGACTGGCAAATTTGGTAACATTAACGCTATTATGCAGAAGATTGCAGTCTCCAGGGCTTCAGGATGATGGACCGCTAGTTGACGCGTTTACGCCAGTGACGTTACCGCGCAAGCTGGGACGACCACCGACCTGGCAGGCTACCCCGGGCGATGAGGAACACAAGGCCAGAGGGGGAGCGCGCGGCACGGCACAAAGACCGGCTGGTGTGAACGGATCTGATGACGTCAGCACGTCAGTCAAGAGTCTCTCCCTATCGGATCATCTGATCTGGTGGAGAGTTGTCGTCGGAAGTGGGGTCATTCCTTGGCAGTACGAGGAACTCCCACCTCACCTTACAGTATCGTTTAGATTGGATCTGTATAACCAGTATTGAGCCTGTGGGATTTGTGCCTCTCAACGCATGGCAAGCTTAACGGAATTCTCAAGCTTCGTAGGGCTATAACGCGGCAGTAGTACAAAGATGCTGATGCAACTTGTGTAGACCTTATATTTTTCAAGGGCCGGCCGTAAATGACACATTGGCAGATAACTGGTAATATTAAATGACGAAGAATGCTGCATTCTTTAATACGGATTTATACGTGACTTTTATTGTTCATTTGTCCCCGTGCTTTTTGTCGTTTAAATTATGCGAAAGAACTATTACCAGCTTTCTCACAGTCATGAAGCATAGCATACAATTGACCGGTAGTTCAGATTTACCACCAGCCAAGAGATATATATCTACAATAAAAACCTCGTAAAAGTTCCTTAAAGTACGATCGCTCAACCCACGGAAAAATGACATCTGCGTGTAAATGTCTTAAAACCTCCCGCCTCTCGTTTTGTTGCCTGCGCGGGGCCTGTCACAGAATATGTCGCCTACCACCCTAAGTGTTGGCAGCTTCGTCCAGGCCGGGTAGCCTCCACAGCGCTGGTCCGTCAGCTGTTTACCCGGGAATGTTTGGCCATATCTGGCTCGGCCATGCCATAGAGCAGAAAGACCCGCAGCACTGACATGACACTGGAGCACCAGCGACCTCTTTCTCTAGACAGGTGATAACGGTGTGGAACACAACACCCACTGATACATGCGCACCAACCATCGGTAAAAATGCAGAGGGGCACTTCTGAGCACCACTAGCAGAAGGGCACCTCTGATTAAGCGGTGGCGATGTGGAGCACCACCGGTGGCGGTGTGGAGCACCGCCGGTGGCCGACACTAACCTGGCACGGGAGCACCACCGTCTGGCCCTCCCTGACGTACTGGTCGGAGGGCTCGCGCACAAACGACTGTAGCGCGTCGCTGAAGTCGTGCAGCAGGCACAGGTGCACCAGCACAGTGCACCACCGCCACATCTGCCGAGCACACCAAAGGTCAGCACAGGGTCACACCGCGTCGTAGTGTGCCGCCGCCACATCTGCAGAACACCCAACGGGTCCGCACAGAAAATTGTTCATGCTTTTGGATGTCACCGTAGGTGACATCCAAAAGTAGGTGAGTAAAGAGCACAGTAGGGGAGTAAAGAGCACCGTCACTGTTTCAGGGGAACGTGCCAAATTCACCAAGGAATACCACCGTCGATCCGGAGCACGTATCATGTCAGTGCACAGCACCACAGACCGACGAAGGGCACCATTGGTGTGGCTGAATAACATAGCTCATGACAATGCCTTGCACCAAAGATTATCACCTGGAACCCACGCCACATTCGCACAAAACACTGCCTCAGCTCGGAGCACCAGTTAGCGCCGAACACCAGCGCCTCACCTCCAGAAACCAGCGATGGTCGCCAAAGCACCATGGTCAAACGCACGGAACGCACCACCATACAGGAGGCCCCGGATGTGAGGAGGGGACGGGAGGGGATGAGGCTGCAACAACAGTGTGTTGTAGCTGCTGGGGAAAGAGGAGGAGAGAGGGGGGAGGGGGTACAAGTGCGCTTAGTACCAGCCAACGACCTACAACGTACGGTCAATTTCCAGGCCCGTGGCATGTGATGAGAACATGCCTGACATAGCTGCTCGGATCAAACATCCGGGTCACGCGCTCCCAGCTCGGCACAAAACACTCGCAGTGTGCCATAAATCAGCAGAAGGGAAGGGAACAGAGGGAAGACGGCTGGGCGGTGAGAGCCGCTGCGTACTTAACGCGAGCAGAGAGCTGCTTACGAACGCACTGCTAAATGCTAATGCAGGCACATTTCCCGAGCAAGAAACGTCGTGAGCGCGGGCTTCGCAAGTCCCCACGGAATTTACTGCTCGTATGTGATCGGTGGGGCTCAAACACAGCTGGTAACCTGTTGACAGAAGATAACGGACAGACAAGGTCGCAGCCGTAGGAAGCTGTCATTCAGACGCAATGCCTCTCATTTTAATGATGCCTGTGCATAAACAGCAGCGGGTTGTTTGCCTCGCCAGATACGGCTGCCGCCGGCTCTCAGATAAATCGTTCTGATTTGTCGCTGCGATAAGATCGTTCAGCCGACAGGACTCGCCGCCTGAAGCCGTCCGCTCGAGGACGTCAACAACGATCATTGCTCGCGGCACAAAACCGAGAATCCGCTACAACGGCCCCGGTGACGATCTCGGCTCCGATGCGAAGATGACGTTACTTATACAAGTCTAAGACACGCATTCACCTGAAGATCCGTTCCGGAGGCTGCTGGGGTAACGTGCCAAAATGACCCAGACAAACCTGCGTTTTGGTGCGCCATATTATTGTTTCACTTAATGTCACATCCAGCAGTCCAATGCTGTCTGGGAAACATCCGGAACTTATTACAATAATACGGATTCTCATCACCAGGTGACATTAGTTGCGAACAGTACCGCATCGTCTAAAACGGAACAAATACTGCGCAATCAAATTAATTGCTTTCGCAACCTATATAGACATTAAACGTCACATTACCTCGTATCACCAATTACGAAGACAACGGTGTGGGAAACTGCAAAACTACCGTCTCATATGCCATTTGTGAGCGATTGCCATCGATTTCTGCAGCTTTTTCGTCTCCGATTGCCTGCTTCATTGTCAAGCCGCAACGTTTGAGATATGTCGCGAGCATGTCAACAAACTCCAAAGCTCAACTAAAACTAGCCCGAAGTGCCTGATTAACAAGCATCGCCAATCAATGCAACCGGCATACGAGTCTCCCAAGATTGGAGCGCTTGCATCGAGAAGGTTCTTATTGGCCGTGCACTCTCCGATTGACACAGGTCTGTTGATTCTTGGAGGTCGACGGCCGGGTCTCCATTGTTCGGTGGCCGAGACTCTTGCATCGAGGAGGCCCTCAACTGCTCCAACAGACCATTACAGGAGATCGACCGGTCCCGGGCAGCCCGCCCTGTCTAATGAACTGAACAGCGTACGTAATATCGGGACAACTGGAATGCCTCTCCCCCGGCATGCCACCCAATCATCCGCCAAGGTCCCCTTCATGCGACTGAGCGGAGATCTCCACGGCGCGTGCTCATCAGCGGGCCGATGTGCCAATTTGCAGTGAAGCCGCAGCTGCCTCTTTTTAGCGCGTCCCGAGCGCAATTAGTAGCTCAACAGTTACAAGGGTAAGCTGCATTAGTGTCTGCCCCACGTACTGGCCTTGTCGTGTACCGGCCTTCATCCTGAACACACGGCCAGCACTCATCCCGAACATCCCCATCGGCCTTCATCCCGAGCAAACTGCTAACCCCCACCTCACGCACCAGATCTGGAGGTCAACATGCCCCACAAGACGTTGCTCGTTCTCTCGACCCCTGCCACGCAGTACCAAATCCAGCAGACGTCACAAACGGAAAGACAATTACCCCAGCACATTCTACACGGTTAGAGACCCCCGCTTCCAGTACGCCCCAGGGAAAGTCAACCTCGCCAGCCCGTCCCAGGCAAGCCAGTCCGCTGAACAAAGCATCCCCTCCCCTCCCTCGCCCCCACACAACCCGGAGAAGCTGATGGTGGCGCGTGTGATTAGATGCAATTAGACGAGCCAATGGCCGGACAAAAACAGACCGCCGGGGCGCGGGCCGACCGGCCGGCCGGCAGGGTGAGAGACGGCCGGCCACCCAGCCGAGCCTCGCCTGGACTGCAGGCAACCCGGCCGAGGTCCGCCTGGACTCCTGCCGTCCACCCAGCCGAGCGTCGCCTGCGCTGCAGGCCACCCAGCCGAGGTCCGTCTGGACTCCCGTTGGCCACCTAGCCGAGATCTGTCTGGGCTCCTGTTGGCCACCTAGCCGAGATCTGTCTGGACTCCTGTTGACCACCTAGCCGAGATCTGTCTGGACTCCCGTTGGCCACCTAGCCGAGATCTGTCTGGATTCCTGTTGGCTACCTAGCAGAGATCTGTCTGGACTTCTGTTGGCCACCTAGCCGAGATCTGTCTGAACTCGTGTTGGCCACCTAGCCGAGGTTCGTCCGGACGCGTGCCGGACTCCCAGCCGACACTAGTACACACACACCGCACACACCGCACACAAGTTTTGTATTTTTAGGTGGTTGCATACAAATCCCGTAACACTAATTCACAAGTGAGCCGCACCAGCTTTGCATAGGTCCGCGTATTTATTGCACCAATAGTTGCAAGTTCGGCATCATTTCAACGTTTCGCAAAACACTGTATGCGAACTTAGCTATGCTATTTCGTTGGGCAGCGACAGGGAAAGATTGCAGTGTACGATGGTCTCCGTCAAAATACAAATGCTCGTCGAAAGTGACGAAGAAATTGCAGCAACTCCTTCGTGTAGTAGTAGTGCACTTATCCAATTTGGTTTCACTTTCTTCAACAACTTGACGAGAAGTGACGTCGGGGCATCTCCAGAGCAAGCATTGTGTGTGGACACAGCACACACGGCCATGACCAGCAATTAACCTAATGGGCGGACGCAATCAGCATGGGCAGTTTGCGAATTGATCGTCCACGCCACTTCGTCCCGGCGCCGCCGCCGGCCGGCGGGTCTCTTCGCCTCGCTCCTCTGACCCTCCGCGGCGCGGCGGCCGGCAGACGCTACCTATCAGCCGGGCCCCGGGAGCGGTGCGCCGACTGCCGGCGCCGTCGCACCGTTACACGGCAGTCGGCGGCGGCGAATAAACAGGCCGAGCAGCGGTTAATGACGAGGCGGAGCTATCGCTGGCGTATCGCGCCGCCGCCGCGCCGGCCCGGCCATTTGTTAATTATCCGACGGATAGGTGGACGTGGCCGGGCGGGCTGGGCCAGGCCGCGGCGGCGCCGCCTGAGCCAGGCCGCGACGGCGCCGGCCCGCCCGGTGAGGCGTGTGAGGCTGCTGGGGCGGTGGCGGGGCGCGCCGACGGGAGCCCGGGGGAGCGGAGCCCGGGGACGGGAGCCCGAAGTGGAGGCAGGGCGTGACCCAGGTCGTGTCGTTCTGACTACATAGACGGGAGCCCTGGGGACGTGTGAGACATGGTCCAGAGTGTACCGCTCTGAAATCTAAGACAGGGACACTACAAGCAGAAGGGTGGCGCGCAACGGCCTTCAGCACAAGCCGTCAAACTCCCTAGCGAACAATCGACACGACCCGCCAGACAATGGAAAAATCACTTATTAATACGATGGTGTGATGACAAGTCTGTCGTCACAGAACTACACACATAACAGCTGTTGGGACACAAACTGACACAGCTGATAGACGTGATAAGGCATCAAGGTGCAGTTCGTTTCGCCAGAAGTGTCTGCGGAGACCAGGGGCTGTAACTTCAGCTCCTTTCTTTATTGCAAAAGTGATCTTTATCGTGCTACATTGCTTTCCTGGCGCTGCGCTTCATTGCAGCTCGATGCATTTTCGTGAAAGTAGTCAGGCACAAATGGGAAGTCATATATAAACGGTCAATGGAGAACGTTAGAGGAAGTACAAGTGTCAAAATGTTCTCAATTCTACGCCGACAGCGGGTAATGATAGGGCAGTGGTTTGTGTGCAGTTTGTACTGACGCATACGATAAAAGTAAAGAATGTAGTCCTTGTCTCACGAACTAATCTACGGCAGCTTGCTTATCAAGGAAGAGTTCGGCAGTGTAGTGTTGTACTGGCCAAAGGTGTGCAATCAATGAGACTTATTTCATGCTTCTTAAAAAGCCAACACTCCAAGCAATTAACCCATATTGAATTGCTTTGAGGGGTAGCGCAAATAAAGTGTGCATTTTGGAAGGACAAAACATCGCTCCCAGACAAAGTACAAGACGGGCATGCAACCATGCTTATCGATGAACGCCGTGACCTGTCACTATTTACTGACGAGCCATTGGAGGTCGTTTTTGTTTATCAACACCTGCTGGCATCCGGCTGCAGCCATCTTTCTGCATTTATTACACCGGCTGCTACGCTGAGCCTCCTGATAAGAAAATCCA